GATCCAAGCGTCAATTTCCTTCCTCATTTAGATAAGACTAAGATCATTTAGAAAATACTCGAGGCAATGGGGGTAGGGTGGGCGGCAGCCAAGCCAAGAAAGGCGGAGCTGGAGCTTCCAGGCTCGGCAGGGGACATCGGAGTCCCAGAAGCCGGGTCTGGGCAAACAGTGGCGTCCCCAAGCCCGGCGCACGATGCGCTGGGACGGGGATTGGGCAGGACTGGTGTGTGTGTGGCGGAGCTCCGAGAAGGGGACCCTCTGCGGAAGGACAGAGGAGTCATGGGTTGCCCTGAGGAGGGAGGGACAAGCATCTGCGCATAGGTGGGTGAAGGGGACTCAGGTTCACCTTTCAGCGCCTCTTTCATCGCGACGCGCTCCTCTTTGTGGAACTGAGAAGGGATTCGCGACGTCCCCTGTTGCTGCTTGCCCCTTAGGCCCATCGGTCTGGAGACGGTGGCAAAAACTAGCAGCAGCACAACCGCCAGGGCCAGCACGCGAACGCACCGCCGAGCCATGCCCTTCGCGAGTCCCCGCTGCCAGGGCGCTGCCCAGACCGCCTTCCTGGCCCTCCAGGTTCCCGCAATGGGCCTTAGCCACACCCCCAGGTCTGGCCAATCATCGCTTGGCCGGGCTTTGGAACACCCAATCGACGAGATGGCCCCGCCCCGTCCCGCAAGGCTTTTTGGGGCTTGTGGTTTCTGGCCCTGAGTAGCAGCCATATGTGTATGTATGTGTGTGTGTGTGTGTGTGATATGTATATAGTTTGGTTTTACTTTCTTTTATAAAAATGATACGGTGCTGGACGTAGTCTTTTTTCCCTCAACACTGTGTTTGTGGGATTTATGCATACTCTTATATCTAACTGTAGTCTATTCACATTCACTATGCATAACATAGCATTCTGTGAATATACAAAAATTTATTGTACGTGTTTCCTGGGCCACAAGTGAAAGAGACTCTCTGAGATATATCTAGGAGTAGAAATGCTGGGTTGTCCTATATGGTCAACTTTAGAAGACAACACTGAATTATTTTCCAAAGTGATTGAAACAGTTTTATACTTAGGTACTTAAAAAAGTTCATGGAAAAATAGAACTAAAAGATAATATGAATCT